TTTCAGCTATAAGGGTCAGAAATGTTTCTAGAGGTGCCCCCCCCTCTGTGTTTCTGCCCTCTTTAACATCCACTGGTGGCAAAGGCAGTGCTGAGGAAGCATTTCCTGATGGACCAGAGCTGCATCCAGTGTGGTGGAACCCCAGGGCACCGTGTGGTTGCCATCCCCCAAATGAATCAATAATGAAATGATGCAGCCATTTCCTCCACAAATTTGTAAACTTTCATACACGTCCCTTTTGAACTGGCAGAGGAAACCAGAAATGCCAAATTCCCATTTAGACCCCGATCTGTGCTCTGTGCTCTGCAGTGCTGGGAGCTGCTGGGGTAGAAGAGCATCAGTCCCTTGGCTCTGAGTGCCTTGGTGAGTTCTGTGCCCTGGGAACAGCCTCCTTTTGTACTCAGAGAGCTGCTGAAATCCAGCCCTGGATTCCCAAAAATGAAGTTCTCAGGTACCATTTCCTGGCCAGGAGTTGTGTGCCAAAGGCTGGGATGCTGCTCAGAACCTCTGTGAGAGAGCAGGACAGACACATCACATCTCTGGCAACAGCAAAAAGCCTGAAACAATGATCCTGAAGGTTTTTAAAAGTGTGAAATCTGTGGTTTGTGGGAAAGGAAGCTGGCTCAGGGGCTCTGCCAGCCCAGGGGTTTAAGAAGTGTAGCTCCTTGGAGTGTTTGCAGTCTGAATCAGTCTCTGAAGTGGCATGCAGTATTTTGGGCCTGGGAGAGCACATTTTTGTTGCACATTCTCTGTATTGTCAAAAGCATACCTGTAAAGAAGGTCCAGTGTCTGTCAGACTTGAAATCCCTGGAGATGTTCAGAAAAAATGGGGTTCAAAGTGCGTGGATTTGATGCACAGTTTTTGTATGATCAAAAAACCGCTTGTTCTCTGTCTGCTTCATCTTGAGATCACTCACTGGGTGTGGGCAGGCAGTGCACAGGTGAGGGTTACAAGCTGTCTGGAGGTGGTGGACACTGGCAGAAGCTGTGGCATTAAGGAGAAATGTCCCCTCCCTGGGGTGTGGGGGGAGAGGAGCCAGGCTCCTCTCAGCCTGGCTCGGCCGGAACGCGGTCCTGGAACACAGCGGGGAGATTCAGGCTGGAAGAGGTTGAGGCACACAATTCCCTGGGAGACTTCTTAGTCATAAACAGAGATGAAAAAATGCCCAGCCACAATGTTTGTTTGCTGTCAGAAGCCTTGGGAAGCCGCTGGAGCGAGCGCCCTTTGGCACGCCTGGCTCCTGTTGCCCCCTCTGCTCGGGCAGTTTTCATTTGTTGGTTGCAATGTTCTAGCACGGAGCTGGTCTCCAAGGCAATGCTAAAGATCAAATCTCCTCGTCAAGGCAAATTACCAGAAAGGCACATTAAAGTTTTCCTTTGGTATTTTAATCCAGTCTCCTCGGAGCTTTTATTGCCGTGAAGCAACAAATGTCACTTGTTTTCGCGGAAGGTTGTCCTTGGTTTGTCGGGGATGGATCTCTTGGGGAAGGAAGAGCAGGGATGCTTGGGACAGAGTGTGGGCAGGGGCCGTGTTCCTGGAGCCCTGGCTCCCACATGGAGCACATCTGTGCCCCTGGGAAGGGTCAGGGGCTCAGCCCACCCTGCAGCAGCACGGCCGGCGCTGCTCCCACGGGCACATGTGCAAATGTGCCCAACAAAGCACGTCTCAATCAAGTGTCCTTAATTAAGACCTCGGAAAAGCCTTGTGAAAAACGCTTATCCATACCTAAGCACAACAACTAAGAAGGTAAGAAAAATGTGGGGGAATTGATTTGACAGCTAGGAGCCCCTGGGACAGGAGGAAAGAGAGCTCCTGCTGGGAGTGCAGAGCCTTGCGGGGCTGGAAACGCGTTCCTTTGTGTCCCGGGGCTCCCCTCCAGCACCTGCACCTCTCTCCCCCAAACATCCCCTGCAATACTGTCCTCCAGGGCAGGCACACTGCCAGGATTAACTCCTGGGTTTGTGTCCCAGGGTGAGGCAGGACTGGAGGAGGTGCTCCCTGGGGCTGGTGGGATGTGCATTCCCACAGCCAGAACGAGCAATATTGCCACTTCTGTTATTTAAAAGCCAAGAAGTGATGATGGTTTAACAAAATGAAATCAAAAAGACCCATGCCCAGCATTTTTTTTTCTCTGTTTATTGGAACCTCGTGGTATGCAATGAAGTTTTGTTTATGTCCTTAAAACGATGAGAATTAAAACCAGTTTTTTAATGAAAAAATGAAAATGAAAGCTAAAATGTCTCCATATTTTCATGCATCTAGCTAGGAAGGACTTTGAGTACTAAACCACATGTCATGAGACTGAGGCTGAAGCTGCAGGAAAAGCAGGACTTTTGGAATATTCTAGCACGGTGGAACAGGATTTCCATTGCCATTTGGCTGTAGGGTTAGAAATACATGAGATTCTAAAGCTTTATCCCTGCTAGAGCCCTGATAACGCTGATCTGATAGGCAAGAAACCCCAGAATCCTCATTGCAGTGCCATGTGTTGTTGAGAGTTATTAAATTAAGGTAACGTGTTCATGGCTGGAATTTTAGTATCTGTGTCTATATTTATCTGTCTGTGTCATCTGGCCTCAGCATCACAGAGCTGCAGAGATGATCAAAAGCAAGATGAGAGTGCTGAAGCAAGGGTCTCATCTGGAATATTCTTTCCAGGCTGATATTTTTCCAGTCATTCTGCCAGCAGTCTCAGGTCTGCTCTGTCTGTTTAAACTGTCATCTCAGTGCAGCTCCTGCTGCAAGCCAAAGCCATCTGTTGTTGGGTAATAGTTCTGATTTATTCTGCCTCTGCTTGACACTCCTGAGCCAGATGCTGACTTGCAAAATTTGCTTTTATTCGCTTTCATTTTTATGCCATGTCTTAATATCACAAGCAGTGTTTTAATTTAGGTGATTTCTTTTGTCTACTGTTTAAGATTAGGGGTGAGTGACAGTGTCAGCCACCTCTGGGATGCAATTCAGCATCCTTCAGAAAGGCACAGGACATTTTAGAAACACATCCAAGCAGTGCTGCTAAATGTCCAGTATCTTCCAAATCACTAATCTGTGCACTCATTTCTGTATTAATTAGAATTAATTATGTATTGCTTTCAAATAAAAGGTGTGGACTGCTTGAAGACTTTTGGGCTTGAGAATGTTGTGGGTGGCTAACTGTGGTCAGAACATCTGATATTCCACAGCACAGCCTTTGACTTCAGTGAATATGGGGAACTTTGCAAGTTGGCACTGACTGCCACAGTGCATATGTGTCCTGGGTTGATTATGATGTTAAGATTTGATGATGTTGATGTTTATGATGTTTATGATGTTGATTATGATGGAAGATCAAGGTGATTAGAGAGATGGATAAACCTCACCAATTGCAGATCTACAAAATGTCTCTTTGTAGGTGGCAGCTTCCAGACAATGTGTGCATCTTGCACATCAGCTCCTGCTGGACTCTGGGTTCAGAGCTTTTTGTCTGTCTGTTTTCTCCAGAGCTGGTGTTGAACCACTGGGAGTTGTGCAGCAGCCCCAAAGCACGTTTGAATGCAACTGTGAAGTAGCTCTTAATACAATTTATCCATTCAGTAAATAGAGGTGCCATTGTAAGGCAGCATGAATTTCTGCACCAGGCTGCAGACAGGTTAGCAAAATGCAATTGCTGCTTTTGTTAAAGGCTCTCAGGTGGTGATGTGTGCAGTACTTGTGGTTTGGTGGGTAATGATGGACTTGCAGAAACATTGACAAAGGAAAAAAACCAAACAGTACCAGCGTTTTTTAAGCTCTGCTAAAAATAGTCATCAAACCATGGCAAGGGCATTGTTACAGAATGTAATTTAATGGACATCTTATCTTGGGGCTGTTCCTTTGGGTTTCAAGAACAGTTTTTATGTAAGGTTCATTGTCTTAGTGAATGCTGCCTTAATCTCAAGCGGTTCAAAAGTGAAATGGGAATTACATATGTGATCTGAGAATTATACCAGAGTGGTTTTATAATTTTGGTACCCAGATGGTTTTTGCAGACATTTATTTAAGTAATGTTTTCTTCTCATGGTCAGTCATTTGGTGTTTTGGGGGGGAAAAATTTTCATGGGAAAAAAAAGAGAAAGAAAGTGATATTTCTGCAATGTATCTCCAGAATATCTTGATACATTTATCACCTAACTTTGTGTGTAACTCAGTTCCCCAAATATTACATATAACACTGTAGTGTTTGTATTTTAAAATGGCAAAATTACAGTTACCCTGACATTAATAAATTGACGTATCCTGAAGGAAGTCTAATTCAGTTTGCCAAAAAGATAACCTTGCCCAAAAGTATGAGATGTTTGTATGGGAAAAGCATGGGAAAGCATGAAAGGAGAGCATCAAACTGGCCTAATAATATGGGAGATGCCTGGACCAGAGCTTTTAAGTTCTGTTGATAGGGGAGGAACCATGTTTTTCCTGGCTGCAAGTAGAGCAGCAGAGCCCTGAGGAAAGGCTGGTTTCTCCTGGCAGGCCAGGGCTGTGTCCTGAGCATTTCCAGCTTCCTCTGGCAGAGCCAGGGCAGGCACTTTGGGCACTGCAGAGCTGGTGTTTCACAGCCTGCTGCAGCAGGCACGTGCTGTGGAGCTGCACAGGGACGGCAGGATCACATGTAAACAGCTGCACAAGTAAAGGCTTCCATTCAGCAAGGTCCTTCAAACCACATCTTTAAATATCATTGAAGTCAAGTTAAATTGCTTTAATCATATGCATAAGAGCTCTGATGAAGGAGAGTTTAATAGTAGTTTCCATCTCTTTCCACATGATCAAGGCTTTTTCATATTCTGCTGCATGCAATAGGAATTTCTTCCTGGTTACACAGCACGAGCAATTGCCGTGACTTTTGGAAGGCTCCCTCAACAATGTGAATTTTCTGAGCTGTTGTAAACAGTGCAGTGTGGAATGCCACTAAGAGAGAAAGAAAAGGCATTTTCCCAGCTCTCTACCTTGAGAGCAGATCTAACACATCTTCTCTGCTGTTTTCCAGGACCACCTGTTACTCCCAGCCACCACACATAACAAGACCAGGAGACCAAAGATGTCTATAGTGCTGCCAGCTGTAAACATCAACGGTGAGTGCAAAGGGAGAAAGGGAACGATACAGAACAGGTTCAAAGAGGTGTGCCTGACTCGTACATGAAGAGCCAACTGGGGCCAAATGTCTGTCATTAGGGCTTTGCAAAAGAAGTCAGGCTGATCATGAGTGGGGTTTGGCTGCCAGGGTCCCTGTTGGAGCTGGAGTGCCAGCAAACCCCCTGTGCTTGGTCACCCAGACCGTGAGGATGGGGGGACGTGGCCAGGAGCAGTCTGGCTCCTGCAGGGACAGGGAGGGTGCCATCCAGGGCTGGGGGTTTGTGCCCAGCTGATTAAGGGTTACATGGATGGGATTTAACTTCTCTAACTTGGTGGCTCACAGGGCCCATGGAGACTGTCCTCCTCTCCTCGTTTGGCTTCCTCCCACGCCTGCTTAGCAGGGCAAATTCCTTGGCCTTGCTGGTTTGTTAGGATGCTGACTGCCTTCCCTGGCCCTCCTCAGCTGTTTAGCACGCTGTTACACAACCCTCAGTGTGAGTGGGACCTCTCAGCACTGCCTGCTCAGGACTAATAATCATCACCTCACCGTGCTGCAGGACAGCAGAGAAAACAGCTTTGCACGGGGGCAGATTTCTGGTTTATTAGTGCACAGAAATGTTCTGGGTCAGCATTTCAGCCCCACCTGAGGGACAGGACGTGACTTGCACAAATACATCATGTTTTGGACATGGTAGGGACACAGGGTCACTGCCACACTCCCCAAATGCATTGAGAACCCTGCAGCAGTGTAAACTTTACTTTCTGAACAACTGTGCACATAATGCTTTTTTAAAACATCTGTGTTTTACAGTACATGTGAATCATAAACCCAAGTGTTATTGTTAAATCCCAGCATGCCCAAAGCATTATCTGCTGATGTGAATTTCCATAAACTAAGAAAAAAAGAATCAGTTCAGGCTTTTGGCATTTTGATAATTGCACTTTCCCATGCAGTTCAGCCCAGTGTGATAATCTGTACAGCTGTCCTAGGGGAATTTTTATTACAAGTATCAGAATTATTTTTGGCATTTATCTGCCTGAAACTCCCTTTTTATGTCTATTACAAAAATCCTTTTCTGGCTGACCTGAATTATCACATACAAGTGGGCACTTTATCACTGAAGTACAAACACTATTTCTAAATTGCAAATTATTTCTTCTTGACATTTTACTGAGTCCTGTTTTTACTTGAAATAACTTCGTTTGTTGGAGTAAATATAACTTGGAAAATATGCATCAGAATCCAGTGACAAATCTTATCCATAAATAATGAAACATTGTGAAATTATATTTTCATCAGTTCTTCAGGATTTTTCTTTGGAACATCAGCATAATCCAGGAAAAAAAAAATGTCCAGGGATTTGGGCAGAGATGTGGAAACAGATGAGACACAAGAATAGCATTAAGTAAACAAGAGCATCAAACACAGATTCCTCTGGGACACCCAGGCAGGTGTCAGGGGAGAAGTTACAGGACACACAAGAGCCAGTGGGTGACTTGGCTTGCTTTCTAATCTGACTCTTGGTAACCTGTAGGGAAAGATTGTCCTTTGGGAACATTGCTTCTCCACCCTGTTCTGCCTCTGTGGGGGCTGGAGATCTCTGCACAAGCAGCTGGGACTTAGCAAAGCTTTTCCCCCAGCTGCCTGCTCTTCTTTTAAGCCCACCTTAATTCTTTGTGCACCTGCAGAGAGTTGGCTGCTGGAAAAGGACGAGTCTCCTTTGGAGAAATCAGCAAAACTTTCAGTGAAAGAACTTCTCTTTCCTCGTGCCCCAGGCAGATCTCTGTGCAAGAAGGGAAATCTTTTATAGAATCTTTTATATAATCTCTTCCTTTTCACTGCCACAGCCCTGGCAGAGGAGATGACAGGAGTGCAAGTGAAGGGGTCTTTGTTGTGAAGTTTGTTCAGAACTTCATCACTTGCTCCTGTGAGCTCTGTGTGGTGGTTCCTGACACTGACCTGGCAGTTTTCACCAGTGAGCAAAGCAGAGTCAAGGTTACAGCCTCCAGGGTTTTTCTGGGAGGAAAGTGGCAGTCCTTGTGCTGTGAGGTAGTGGCAAATGCCTGCAGTCTTGTAATTGATGTGCAGTGCACATGTTGCAGTCAGTAAAATGGAAGTTGAAAAGAAGATGTACAAGGTAACAGCACCATGTTATTAATTTTCCAGATAAAAATTTGCTTTCAAGCATTCAGCTGCTCTATGCTGGAAATGAGTAAAAAGAGCCATTATTTTGTAACATTGTGCCATGTGCTCCTTCTCAGGGTCAGCCTTGTCCCTCAGAGGGCACCAGGATAGAGCCAGATCCTCACTGTGCAGGTGCACAGAAATATATTTGCCTATTTAAGTATGTTTAATATGGTAACATATGTTAAATATGTTTATTTTTTTTAAGTATAGGAACTTGTTATACATTGGTACATGTTAATCCTCCGCCTCTTAGTCCCTTTTCCTTCTTCCCCCCTGGTCATAGCCCCTTTCCAAGCTGGCTGGGCCATCCCCCAGTTGACAGTCAATGTTTGCTGGCAGCTCTTCCCTTTTCCCCAGCTGCTCTGTGCCCTTGTGCCACGTCCCTGCAGACCCCTGGCACAGCTCTGTCCTGCTCCCTGCAGGCTGCAGACCCCTGGCACAGCTCTGTCCTGGTCCCTGCAGGCTGCAGACCCCTGGCACAGCTCTGTCCTGTCCCTGCAGGCTGCAGTCCCCTGGCACAGCTCTGTCCTGGTCCCTGCAGCCTGCAGTCCCCTGGCACAGCTCTGTCCTGCTCCCTGCAGGCTGCAGTCCCCTGGCACAGCTCTGTCCTGCTCCCTGCAGGCTGCAGACCCCTGGCACAGCTCTGTCCTGCTCCCTGCAGCTGCAGACCCCTGGCACAGCTCTGTCCTGCTCCCTGCAGGCTGCAGACCCCTGGCACAGCTCTGTCCTGCTCCCTGCAGCCAGGCTGTGCCCAGAGCAAAGCCCCAGCTCTGTGAACACGTGCAGTACTCACAGAAAATCTGCCTGGTGCTGCCCAAGGACCTCAGCACTGGGAGGGCTGCAGGGAGAAAAGCAGAACTGGGGAGGCTTAGTCCCACTTTACATGGGTTTGGGGGCACTGTTGGTGTGCCTTCCTGAGAAGTTAGTCCAAGAAGAAATATCTTGCAGTTTCTCATGGGAATGAAAATGAGCTGCAATCTACAGTTAAACTCAGCCTTTTGTTTTCAAGCAAGTCATGTTTGTTATGCTGGATTGCAGCTATTATTTTAGAAATCTAACTATGCACTTGAGACCAGTTAAGTCTCCAGTAGGTTTCATTCCTAAATTTGCTTTTATTGTAATTCAGAATGTTGTTGGCTCATTACACCAATTCCAAATTGACATATAGGCTGTGCCTTTCTTGAAGTTTAAGTGAAACCATCTGCCATTAGCCCTCTATTTATTTAACTGCAGTGGGTTACAAGGTGGATCTGTGGATCCAAGTGACCTGTAGAGAACAGCCCAGCTGAGCCACCCTCCCCAGCTGAGCACAAAGCTCTGTGTGTGCAGCGTGCCCAGGCTGCCAGGGCTGCTCTGGGCTGCCCACAGCAGTGGGATGGGCACTGCCCCAGGGCCAGCTCCATCTCTGGCCCCAGAAATGCCTTCCAGTTCTGCTGGGATCGGGTGAGGCACTCTCACAGCTTGCTCCTGCTGGGAGCAGCTCTAGGTGTCTGTGCAGGTGTGTGCTCACCAGCAGTACTGCTGGCCTTGGCAGCAGCACAAGCACCAAAAAGGGCTTTTATCTTCTCAGGATCCCTGTGCAAACAGTTCCTTCCATCATTCACTCTTCAAACTGAGGCTTGGTGTCTGTGCTCCAAGGCCAAGACAAAAGTGAGAGATCTGATGGGAAAGTCCCTGGTGCAATATAAGGCTCATTTTCTTGGAATTCGCAGCCGTGACAGAGTTCTGAATGTTTCACAGATATTCTGGCTAGGTCAGTGGGGCGTGTCTTCATTCTGCCTTTGAGATGGCTGCTTGTGTGCCTGACCCTTGATAACCTCTGTGTTTCTGGGCTCTTAAGGAGCCCTCTTCTCCTAAGGGTTGCTTTTTGTCATGAGATCCAGCAGCAAAATAATCTTCCAAAGGCAGAAATGGAATGGAATGGTGACTTCAGCAGAGCCCATGTGCTCTGCTGTGTTGGCCAGCTTCTGATTCGTGACCAGCTCCATCAGCTCTCCCTCTTGCCATCCCTCATCATACTGGTGTAACAGACTTCAAAAGTACTCTGAAATAATCCATGTTCTAGTGAAAAAGGGGGAAGGCAAATCTAGTGGAAAGGCTCTTTGATCAAAACTGGGGCGATTTCTGCCATCAGGCAGCAGGATTATTTGCATGCAGCTACAAAGAACCTCCTTTCAGCTGACAGCCATGTGCAGGCAGGCCACAGATGTCCCAGGCTGGTAGCAAACTCTGAAAAATCTGTAAGGCAACCAGAACCCACACAGGCTGAGGAGGAAAATAAAAACAAAAGCTCTTTGGGAAGTGACAATGCTCTGTAAGTTCCCATGTCTTAGGGCTGAATAAATAAAGTCTTCGACTTCCTCTGCCTTTCAGGGTCAAGCAAACAAAAGATGCTGTTTCCTTTTTTCAGAGCAAGAAACAGAATTTGCAGTCAGTCATTGAGGAAGGTCTGAAGCGATACATATCTGAGTGCAGAGCAGCTGCCTGCCCTGAAGGTTACTGCCTGACATTTTGGGAAGCCTCTCTCCCTTTGGAGAGCCTCAGAATGGTTTCCAGGAGGGCAGTGGTCCCTGCTGTCCATAGCTGTTCTCCTCCCCTGCTCTCCCTGGCTGTAAAGCCAGGCTGTGGTGCCCGTGGCTCCCTCTCACAGCTGCTGTCCTTGGCACCAGGCTGGGGCACCCATGCCACTCTGCCAGGCATGGAGGACACAGGTGTGAGCTACACAACACTTCCCTCAGGGTTTCTGCTCTCTATCTGTGTTCAGCAGGAAGTGCTGAGAGCTCAGCACAGCCCCAGGAGCTGCAGTGTGTG